ACTGATAGATGTCCTGATTTCAAGGATTATCCCTGGTCGGAGAAGAATGAGGCCGTGGCTGAGGAAGTGAAGGAGATACGGGATATGGTGAAGGGATTAACGAGACAGGTTACAGAGATTGTGACCGCCACAGAGGCCACGGCTTACCGGGACAAACCTAGAGGGCCCTATTCACTTCGTTGGGACCGTGGGAATAACGATCCCTGAAGGAGTGTCGAGGATAGAAATCCTCGGACGCTAATTGATTATCGTATGAGGGGAAGAGAGAGAGACGATGAATTATGGCAACGTAGGGACGATGAGATAGACCGAGACCGCAGAGATCGCGAGCTGTTTGTGCGAGCAAGGAGGCTAGATGATTACCCCCGAAGCCCTCGCTATGAGGCCGATCGGGGCATAGGCGACTCCCGCGGCCAATGGGAGAGGGACGACAGATACGAGAGGACGGGTCGAGATGGCTACAGAGGAAGTAGATATGGAAGAGGAGATCGGGACTGGGAACGACAAGATGGGTCGCGCGGACGGTTTGAGCGCGGGGGAGAAGCGAGGGAGCAGCGCGACGAGTCGCGGGGATGGTACAACCGAGGGGACCGACGCGATGAGTCACGAGGACGATATGACTCGGGGGACCGCCGGAATGATTCGCGAGGGCAGTATGAGCAAGGAGGGTCTGGAGGAGACCGGCGCAACGATTCGCACGGTCGGAATGAGAGAGGGGGATATGGCGTYTCATCAGAACCATATCCAAAGTCGCCTGACCCCAAGGCGACCAGGAATTCGATCTCTAGAGGCGCAGACGACTGGGCATCTACTCCCAGGAACTCATGCGTCTATTGTAGAGGAGAAGATCATATCAAGAGGGATTGCCCAGACCTCAAACGGGCAATAGAAGAGGGACTTGTCGTGCTTAACGACCGCAAGTACGTCAAGTGGGCAAATGATCTAGGAGATGTATCGATGTTYCCTTCGATGAAGGAGAATGTCGAAGCAAGGAGAATAAAGACGAGTAAAGGAATGGAGCCGGTCAGGAGCCAGAGCATCAAGATAATCTTTGAGGGGGATATCGCGACCACACCCATAAGGGTGGCAGCCACCAAGTCGGCAAGAGGGTCTACATCGAAGAAGACTGACAC